AGGACTCATTTTCAGCCTGTCTTCTCTGACTACAATACTCTTTTCCCTAGATAATCGCATCTCCTTGCACCCCTTGTACTCCAAACCTTAAACTTGGACCTCTCGCCTCAGCTCCAAGTCTGCAGATTCAAACAGTTCTTGTCCACTGTTCCTTCTCCTTGTGAATGGTACACCATCCATCCAATCATGGAAACCAGAAACCTAAGATATCTTGCCACTCTCTCTCCCTCATCCTCCATGTCCACCAATATGTCTGGTGGATTTTACCTCCTACAATCTCTCAAATCCATATTCTCCTCTGAATTTACTTCTATTACCCTTGTCCAAGAGTGATCAACTTCCCACTTGGACTCTGAGAGTCCAAGTATCAGTTCTTGTTTCTTTCTAAATTGTTTCTCTTATCATAGTTAGCAGAATGATCATTTCCAATCCCAAATCATGTCACACCTCACCCCTTAACTCCTCCTCCTCCTCCACCTTCACCATACTCTACCTTCTCCACTTAACACTTTATAATGACTTCCTTAAACTCTTAAAAAAGAAGAAATCCTTAGAATGAGCTGTCAAGTCTCCCTGACTTAGTTCCTATCAAAGTCTCCAGGCTTGCCTCCTTCCGTGGCCCTCCTTACTCTCTGTCTCAGCCACACTGGCTTTCTTCCAGTCCTTTCCATGTATCCCACTTCCTCCTGCCTCAGGAGCTTTGCACATACTCTCCCCACTTGGATTTGCCTGGTTAACAGCCTACATAGCTTTCGGATCAGGACTCAATTTCACGTCCACAGGGAAACTCAACACACCCTCCTGGGTGGTCTCTTTCAGGCACTTACACGTGACAAATTTACATTTATGCTCTTTTAATTACGGTCTGTCTCCTCCAAACCTTTAAGCTCTATGATGGCACAGAACTTGCCCTGTACCCAGCACAGTGCTGGGCACAGTGTACTCAGTAAATATTTCTTGAATGGCTAAGTAAAAGAAAGTCCTATGTTGGATTCTGAGGATATAAAGATTAATAAGGCACAGAACGTTCCAGAAAGTACCTCGTAGATTGAGAGTGGGAGGGGACAAGCAAATGAGAGGATGAGCAAACATTCTCAGGGTTTAATAGGGTGATGAGCACTTAACAGAGAAACCGGCCAGATATCCCAGCGGAGACAGTGATCCCTGGTCCCAGCCTACCTGTCCCTAGGTGACGCTCAATCCAGGCATCTATTGGCTGATCTGTCAGCCCTCAGGGGGCCCTGGTCACCAGAGTCCTGAGTGTCCCTGGGATGTTACTGCTGTGTACATGCCCCTGCATTCCGGCCTTGGCAATGCCAACCTGCATGACCACAAATCCTGCACAGGCACCATCCTCAGGAACTGGGCACACCATGGGGCCAGGTTAGAATGCCGTGTTATAAAAGGCTCTGGCTGCAATAAGGGCATCACGCAGAGCACTTCAGTCAGAAGAGCTCCTGGTGCCTTCTGGGCAGTGATCTCATCATATCCTCAGATCAACCCCAAGAGGCAGCAGAGGGAAATGATTTTTCTCCCCGTGGGACAGCTAAGGAAACAGATCAACAGAGATTACCTGACTTGGCCAAGTAATGAGAATAGCTTAGGAACAGAACTTAGAGAGAACCAAGGTCCCCTCTGTGAGTCTACCAGTCAGACCAATCAGCAGAGGAGGCCTCCTCAAGCTGCAAGTCTGCTGTGGCAGAAACCTGTACAGTTTGTTCACTTTGGTGCAGAAGGACACTTCATGGCCCCTTCACACCACTGAATGTTAGAGTAGGTGTGCCTTGAGAGATCATTTGATTCAACACCCTGATAAAGAAGGAAACTGAGACCAAAAGGATGAATCTTTTTATTCTCCCTTTCTTTCCCTGCCCTACTGATATCAAGGGGTAGGGCAGAGATTGTTAGCCGTCTACCCAAATCCCTTCTCCCCTTCTTTGCCTATGTGGCTAGACCAGCCGCCTGCACAGTTGGGTGAGCCATGTGACCATGCTGTCTCCCACGGAATGTAAGAGGAGACGAGGTACTTCCAGAGCAGCCCGCCAAAACCTCCTCTGCCCACACCACCATGTTATATTCACCTCTGGCTGACTGGGATGCCAATTCCCACAGCAACTTTGGAAGCCATACTAGAATATGGCAGAACCGCCATAATGTGGTTGCTTGTCCCCTTCTGTGGGACAGCTTCTCAATGAGCTGAATATCAGAGTCTGAGGCTGTTAGGGGAACAAGAACGAAACACATGTGGTATTAAGCTGCTGCATCTGGGCAGCCTATTTGTTACTACAGCCTAGCCTAGTCTGACTAACACAAGTAGAGGCAGGAAAGCCCTGGCTAAAGCTCTGACTACATGAAGTTTCAGGTGGCAAAGACACTGGGCTCCCTGCTTTCACTGCCAACCACATTAGGGTGCCCCCACTCTTACCGGTGAAGAGGTCAGGAATGCCTGTTAACTCACTCAGTCCTGGAATTGGTTCTGAGCTGGCTTCACATCTGTTTTATCCTAGATCAACAGATACACAGGGCTGGAATGGGTCTGAGAAGTCATCTGATTTATGACCCTGGCTCCAAATAGGACCTCTCTTAAGCTATCTGAGATGGTCAAGAATCTTGCCTGGATTTCAATATCCCTGGGAAGGAAACACTACAAATGTCCTTTGATAACTGTTTTAGTCTATGGCCGCATCAGCCTAAAAGAGCCTAATCTTTTCTGATCTCAGAAACTAAGCAGGCTTGGGTCTGGTTAGTACTCAGATGGGAGACACCTATTTCATACCTCCTTGCTACTGTGCCAGAAGTCCTTTACTGAACTCTAAAACATCAGAGCTAGAACACCCCTTAGCAATCATCTAGGACCATCTTTGTTTTACAGATTGGAAACTGCGGCCCAGATCACACAATTAAGCAGTGGTAAAGTCCAGAAACAAAGCAAGGATTCTTGGACCAAGTCAACTGTTCTTTCCAAGGTTCTACACTGCCACCAGCTCTCTCTTGCTTTCTTGCTGTTTTCTCTTGTTCTGCCCTAGGAGGAGAAGAAAAAGAGCTGAAATCCATCTACACGGTGATCGCTCCTTCCAAATTCTCCCTGTGTGTCCCACTCCTAATCTGCTGGTTAAGCTCTTTCTAGCTGGCAGTTACCCTGAACTCAGTCATTTCTCTTAGAAGGCAGAGAGAAGATTAGAGAGAGATAAACCTGGGTACTTAAAAGTGGAATGAGATTGATGGGGGGAGGATTGGGGGAAGGAAGCAGGTACATGTTTACTCCTTGGGTCTTAGTGGAAAAGGCAGATTCTCTCATAGGATTCCTGAATAAGGGCCATTCTATCCTTAAACCTTCCTGCTTGCCTGGGAGGGCAACCAGTACTATGTGACATGGTCTCCTTGGAGGGGAGGGAGCGATAGTGACCAGAACCTTGAGCACAGTCCTAGTCTGTTGGGGCTTGTCTGGCTGAGTCTGGGCAGCTGTGCAGTTCTGCCTGTTAATGTGAGAGCAGCATCCAGAGAAGTTGAGCTCAGGCCATGAGAGCAAAGCAAGTCAGTTTCAGGGGGATTATTGTTTGGTATTTTCTTGGAGAGACCTGGAAATTCTGTATGAGAGCCCTGGAAAGCTGGTATGTTTAAAAACAAAACAAAATAAAACAAAAATCTTTACTCCCCTTTCCCTCATTTAAGGCGAGTTTGTTTATACATAGCCTCCTTTACGTTTTTTGCCAAATGACTCACTTTTACTGAGTCACCAGAAAGTGGACCTAGGCCCATCCGGAGCTGTCCTGGAAACCACGATCTCATTCTCCTGGAGGTGGGTCATGGAGACCTGGAGACTGAGAAACAGAGAAGAGCAGTGAAATGGGGTGGAGAGGGAGGCCTGAAAGTGAGGTGCATACGCATATTTTCATGGGCATTTGGTTGTCAGACCGGGGCCCCCAACAGAACTGGCAAGATCCCCAAGGAACTGCAGCGTTTGTTTCTGTTGCAACACTGTCTGAATTATTGCAAGCTGAATTAGGAGACCAGAATTAATAATACCACACGGTCATTCGCAGATCAATCATTTCGTCTTTGGGTCTACCTTCAGAATCTTGAGCAAGTTATTTTCCTATTTTGAGCCCCTCTTTCTTCACTTAATGAAGAGGCTTATAGTCCCAAACTTTAGACATTTTATTATTCATTTACTGGGAAGGGAGAGGATATGGAAACAAATGGAACTTTATTTACCGATAAAATTTGTTTACACGAAATCTCTGAATCTCTTCCCATAGGTTTCCATTTAAAATTCTGTGATCTCTAGGCATCATTTCGTTTAATTTGCGACCTGCAACTCTTTTCCTGATGATGAGTTTGCCCTAGCCTGCCTGAATTCACAGTTTTCTTTTCCCTGCAGCCTGTCTGGGTGTCCTGGCGGTGACATCTCTGCAGAACTCTGGTGTGAGCCAAAGGCAGTGGTCGGATGGAACAGCATCCAAGCTTGAGAGGGCGTGGGGGGATCCTCGGATTCTCGCGTTGGCTGGAGGGTGAGGTGTTAGGCTTGGCAAACACGAACTCATCACCAGCCCTGGGGCCTGGAGGAGGGGAGGTGGGGTGGGAGTGGGGACAGTTCAAATCAGTAAAGGTGGTGACAGCGTGGGGTGGGGAGCAGGGGACCGTTCCCCTTCTCTCTCCTATCAAAGCACTTGGGATAATTTAGTCTGGTGCTGACCACATTACCCAGGACCTGCTTTTCACCGACTTCTTGTGCGTTTAAGGAGTTGGTAAAGTGCTGGTGTCCGATTCACAAGACTCTTTGCGGAGCGTGTGTGTGACAAAAGTTGCACCGTGGCTCCCCTGACCTCACCCCGCCGTCCCGGGCCGGGCCGCTCTCCAGGCGCCCGGCCCCAGCCCCCTTCCTGCCCTCTCCCCGCCCCCGGGCCCGCCGCGCGGGGCCGGTGATGTCAACCGAGGAGGAGCCGCCCGCCCGCCCGCGACCCGCCCGGGCTAATTAGCATGTAGCGGCGCCGCGGGCCGCCTCCGCCCAGCCCGCCCGGCCCCTGGCCGCCCTCCCGCGGCTCGCGACAACTTTTGAGGCGGGGAGCGCGCTCGCAGCCTCACTCCGCTCACATCCAGGTCCCGCGAGGCCCCCGCCGCCCGCTGCCCTCGCTCGCGGCCGCCCCGCGCCCGCCCCGCGCGCCGGGCATGTGAGCGCAGGCGGGCGCCGCCACCATGGCCTCGCCGCGCGCCTCGCGGTGGCCGCCGCCGCTCCTGCTGCTGCTGCTGCTGCTGCCGCCGCCGCTGCTGCCGCTACCCGCGGAGGCCCCCGGGACGCGGGACCCGCCGCCTTCCCTGGCCCGCCGCGCGCCGAGCCGAGCGCCCCTCGCGGGCGCGGGGCTGAAGCTGCAGCTGGAGCGCCGCCCGGAGCGTGAGCCGCCGCCGCCCACGCCGCCCCCCGGCCCCAGTCACACCAACCCTGAGCCGGGCGCCGCGGCACGGCGAGGACCCTCCGGCCGGGACCCCCGAGGCGGGAGCGCGGGTGAGTGAGAGCCGGGGACCTGGCGCCCGGCCAGCCTGGGCTGGGGGCGTGGGCGCGCCGCGGGCTGCATCCCCAGCCGTAGGCCCCTCCGCACCGTGCGACCCCGGGTGGGGGCTCCTCGCCCGGCATGTGCGGGACCCTGACGGTCGGCGGGTAGGGAGGGACGCTTTGGCCGGTGGCTGGACTGGGGGTGTGACCATCCCTTTCTCCCCCGACCCTTTGGAAGAAAACTTATTTCCCATGGGTACCCTGTATCTCTTCCAGCCTACTTAAAAAAAAAAAAAAAATGGAAAGGAAAGAAAAAAGGCTCTAAAGCATCTCTCCCACCTCTGATTTCTGGCCGGCAGTCCCCAGGTTCATTTTTTTCCCGCATACAGAACTGGCCTCTCTGTTCTGGGCTTGACTTTCTCATCTAAATAACTGCTTTTTAAGAGGTTCTAGCACGGGATATTGTGAAGGACAAAGGATGTACGTAGTTTGAAACAAAATGCTGTACTGGTTCAACTTCAAAGGAACGCGGGTGGGGGTTGCATGGTTGAACCCCTGCAAAGCACAGGCTGATACAGGACCATCCCTGAGTCTCCTCCCTCCTCTTTCCTTTTCCCAGTGAACTGTTACTCCGTGATAGCCACCGCCTGTCCCAAGCAGAGAGAGGGAACTGACCTCTTCTCCCTGCTACTTTTGTATCCAATTCTTTCTTATGATTTGGAAAAATATGCCACAGATTGAGTGGAATTCTAACCATAATGCTGTTATGACCTTGGGAATGCTGTCTCTTTGAGCTTACTTTCTCCATCTGTGAAATGGAAGTGATGATCCCTGTTCCTTCCAGCCTCCTAGTGATGATATGACAAAATGAAAGTAAAAATAAATGGAACGTGCTTTGAACAAAGTCAGCAACGTGGTGGTCTTAGCCTTTGCCTTCCTGTGAGTGACACAGGGCATACATACCCTCTGTCCTGGCTATTCAAAGAAGCTGGGTTGCTTGCAACACTAGATATCGATTTGGAGTTTCCCTGAAAGTTGAGTTTTTTGTCTGCGTAATTGACAATTCGTTTAAGCTTCTCATATCACGCAGACTTTCTGGCTTGTGAAGTAGCTTTCTTCTTGCGACCTAGAGGTGGTTCTTAGAGTTAAATAAGAAGAATTTTGTAAAAACTCAATTTCATATTCAACAGTATTTCCATTATCGCAAAGTGCCTTATTTTTATGAATTTTTAAATCACTGGCATAAGATTGAGAAACCAAGGAACAGTAAGACAAGGGAGAGGAGAGATAAGCTTTTAAAGACTTGTAGGAGACATATCCCAGAGTGACTCTGACTTTACATTCCTTACAGCATATGCTGTTTTGCTAACTTCCACGGGAAGAAATCAAGAACATAAGAGCACATTTCCTGACTTTCTCCAACTAGAAAAGTAACTTGAACACTGTGTAGTATTTTGTGAGTTTTTCTAAACAGAACCTAGAGTGCAGAGAATTGAGAACATTTCAGAGGAGACACCCAAGCGCCGAAGGCAGAGTTCTCTGGGTAGCAGTTAGGCTGATTTAGCTGAAGGGCCCCCATGTTGTTGTTAGGGAATAGGTGGGAGGCACACTGACTTGCAGGGGCCTGGCAGGATGGGGCTGGCACATGAGTCTCTTTCCTTCTCTTAGGGCTGGGATCTCCAGAGACCATAGAAAGGTAGATGTTACAGTGATAGGGACAGTGGAGGCAGCTAGCTTAGAGGACTCAGCTGGTAAGAGTTAGGGCCTTATGTGACCCAAGTGTCCCTGATAGGTGTGGCAGGTAACACTGCTGGTCTTGGCTTTGTGGCTTTCCCAGTTTGATTCCTTTGCAGAGGTGAGTGATGGAGGCTTCAGGTAAATGAGGTATTGGAAGGAATACGTGTGAGAGTCCCCAAAGCAGCGAGAGAGTAGCTGGAATAGTACACACTTTCACCTACCCAAGTGGGCTCTCCTGGTCTCCTGGTGCCCCACAGCCACCACCCAAGGAGTGCCTCCTCTTCAGTGGCTCAAAGGCCCAGTCTCTGAAGGGATGTTAGGAAGGTGTGATTGGAAGAGATAAAGGCAACACCTGTTGAAAGCTGCCAGAAGCTACTTATGTGGCTGAGGATCTAGGCATGAGCTGTGCTTGTTTTTCTGGTAGTGGCCCAAAAAAGTGTAATTTAGGGGAAAAAAAGGAAACAACAAGAAAACCAGTGTTCAGTGAATTCAGTGAGTCTGAGTTTTCTGATAATGAGGATTGGGGGCCTTTGGGATTAGCCTCCATGTATCACTAGATGCTATCCCTTATTTCACAAGGCAGCAAGGTCTCAATGCTGAGCGGGCCTCCACAGGTCCTCCAGTCCTCACTGTGTCCTGTGCAGATGTCTCCCCAACAGCACCCCTGACAGATGGTCATCCCGGCTCTCCCTCAGCAGTTTTGTGTTTGCGGAGGTGCCATGCCACTGCTGCTAATAAGCCCTGAGTCTCACAAGTAATGTGCTCCATTTGGTTGTTGGGGAAGCTGCCTACAGCCCCTTCATGCCATGGGGATGCTAGTAGTCAGGGTCTGGCTCCTGGGACTTCCAGATACACTGGTATCAGCAGCATGGGGCACAAATGTTCCAGCTCTTCTCCTCCTGGCAGAGTTCAGCTTCTCACTGTTGAGTGACTGTGTTTGCATTCCATTATGTGCGTGTTTTGCCTGTATTAGACTGTAAGTCCCTGGAGAGCAGCTCCCTGTTTATATAGCCATTGTTCAGCTTTTGTGCCCACCTGTCACCCTGCTGGCTGTTCAGCCGATGTTTATTGCTGGTGTTTCAGCCAGTGGTGACAAGATGCTGAGACCTAGAGGTTTTCCTTTTCTGCGTGTGTTTTTCTACCACCCAGGATGTCCGAGCCACAGTTCTAAGCTGAATGCTAGATTTATATGCCTTGATTTTGTGATCCCTATGCTGTGCTTTAATTGTGAGTTCTGCAGATGAGAGGGAGAAAAGGCTTAAATCATAATGAAAATCAATGCAGAGGAAAAACTTTCCCACCCAAAGGGGAAATGACGCTGGGTAGCTGAGCAGCCAGCCCAAGAACTAATAATCTTAGAAAAATGCAGCTCCCTAGAGGAAAGGAAGTGCTTTGAGCCCAGCCCCTTCTGAGCTGTTAGATAGCTGTTGCTTGAACTGCTCTAACTTCGTGGGCCAACTTCGTCATTTAGCTTGGCTGCTGGGAGAACCATTACAAGGTGCAGCGGGCAAGCAGCAGCCCCTCAGGGAAGGGAGAGTGGCTTTCCTCCAGAAAGTGGCCACCTCACTCCTGGCAGAGGCTTGGGGCGGGTGGCGGTAGGGATTCCTGAGAAGCCTGTTTGTTTTGATGGAGTGTGTCCCAAATAGAAAAGGGGAGGGGGTAGGGGGCAAGGGACTCTCTTTGATGCATGTGTGTTTAAAAGCCACATCCTTTTTACCTTGCAAGAACCCTTGTATTGCTTTCCTCAGCCTGTGCGCACATGCTGAACTGGTATTTTTTGCCAGAGACCCGAATGGTGTGGACTGAGGGAGACGGAAAGATACTTGCTGCCCAGCTGGACAGTTTCTGCATCCTAGTCCTGGAGACTGGGGAAGGAGCCTCTGCCCTCCCAGTGATCCCTCCTGCCTTCCAGCAGCCCTGCTCAGCTGGCTGAAAACAGTGTTCCTGGAGTTAACTTGTCCTTGTCCAGAGACACTCAGAAAGAAAGCAAAGAACAGATGGCAGTTGCGGTTTTGTTAGCCACTTATTGCCTTCTTCAGTGGCTTCCCTCTGTCTCCAGTGTCCTTTTTGTATGAATGGGAGGTTTCAGCTGCAGTAAATGTTCACTTCCAAGAATCCTGCAGAGGCAACAAGGAAGGAGACTAGTTGGGGTCTGACTTTTGACTCCCTGGCCTTTGAGCACCTATGTGTGGTCGAGGCCTTCACGCTCCTTGTCCCATTTAACCCTCAAAACAAGTCAGTGAGGGATGTTATTTGCCTTTTACAGTTCTGGAAACAGTACCCTGGAGAGATTAGATCACACAGTAAATGGAGGTGGCAGGATTTAAATAGATTTTGACCAAATCCATTTGCTTGTTCCACAATATCAGGAAGTCTCAGTTTTCTCATCTGTAAAATGGGGGAAGATCCTCTAAGATTGGTCTTCTTCTTCCCTCTCTCCATCCCTTGCTCTTGCTTTTATGTAGAGATTAGGGGCCAGCACTGGGGTGGAGAAAAGATGAGGAGATGGTAGTGGGAATGAGGATACCTGTAGAGTAAAAATTTAAAAACATTTTTGTTTGAAATTGTCTGAGACAAGACCACGAGTCTTTAAAATGACATTTTATAGAGAGATTGTAAATCGTGCCCTACTCATATGCCAATCCATAGATTATTGATGCCAGAGGTTGCTTCATTAGTTATAAACCAAGCTGAAATGAATTGGTGACTTTCTTAATGGGTCCTCTCCTGGGAACATGAAGCAGTGGCTGACATTGTGAGGCAGTTGTTAATGAATACCAGCCCAGTAGGAGACGAGGTTAAACGGTACTCCACGCAGATGCCGTAAAATTGCTTTCATTTTAACATCCATGCTCCCTTCTACCCACTCACCATTCATGGAGCATAGACAAACAAAGATGTTTCTATCCTGTGTTTTTCACCCTTCTTTTGTTGGCGTGTGGCAGATGTCTCTGTTTGTGTCACATTGGACTGATTTGTAAATCAGGAAATATTTACAGAAGGCTTGCTATGTGGAAGAGCCATGCCAGGTGCTGTGGAGGTTGTAGTGCGTGCCTGTGATGCCCCCAGGGAACATTCAGTCTTGTTGGAGCACACACATCAAGACCGTAAAAAGCGAAATAACGATGCATGAGTGATTCACAACTGAAGAAATGCCACAGAAGATCTTACTGACCAAAGGAATGGTGAGGGTGGAGATGGGGGGCACATGCAGACGTGGAGACCCCTGGGGGCCGGATAGTCCACGGAGACTTCAATGGGAAAGGGGGGAGTTGATCTAACTTTGAAAGTTGACTGAGATGTGGGTAGATAGAGGGATGGAGGGTGGGCCGGGCATGGTGGCTCACGCCTGTAATCCCAGCACTCTGGGAGGCCAAGGCAGGCGGATCTCTTGAGGTCAGGAGTTTGAGACCAGCCTGGCCAACATGGTGAAAGCCCATCTCCATGTTGGACGTAGTGGCACGCACTGGTAATCCCAGCTACTCAAGAAGCTGAGCGTGAGAATTGCTTGAACCTGGGAGCCGGAGGTTACAGTGAGCCAAGAGTGCCCCGCTGTACTCTAGCTTGGGCAACAAAGAGACACT